AGTATTCGGCCCACTTGCAAATCGTGGAGCGTCTTTCTTGTTATAAAGATTATTGTACCACGATTTGTTTGGCACACTCTGGCATTAACGTGTGTGAAATATATAAATAAATATATTTTTCCCCACGTTCGTTAGTCATCTCGCCATATAAGACTCATCTTTGCAATATTCCCTTTTCATGTAAAACACTGATGTCGTGAGATCAATGTACCACACATGCGATATGTTAATTCCGTGTCTCGGTTTAAACAGAAGCTGATTGCTCCTGCTCGAGGAAACCGGGGTATAACCAGACACAGGCTTGAATGAACGCACCGCTCATACACGACTGCAGCCCTTCCCTGTATGCTTACTTCCATTCGAATGACCAATAGGTAATGCTTGCCATCCGGCTGGCAAATTTAACGGTTCCCTTTATCGACAATGACCACACTCCGGAATGACTAACCGTAAGAACATCACTGAAAAACTTGTCGAATGGTACAGAAGAACTGTTGATCGTTCAATCAGATGTGATCTTAGTTATCCTAGATGTACCATTGGTTGGTGACTATTTTTTACATGCGAAACAAAGCCATGAGACATGGAGACGTATTTATTCAGTGCTTCACAACGCTTTTGGAGCAGTTTATGCAGTGCATGCACAGTAAAATTCGGGCTCAACTGGGGCCGAGATGAGCACCTTGGAACAGAACATGTAAACGTGTGGTGACATTATTATAGTAATATATCATAATAAACATAAAACCACACAAGTTAGGTTTATTGAAGATTCCACAAAAACATTAGAAGGCGGACTGGGTTCATTAAACATTAGTAACAAGATAAACTTTGTTAGCCATTGGAAGGCAAACATTGGGCTTTCCCAGAACCGAAAGGATTGCGAGGATATTGAAACGCACGGAGAACTACGTAATTGTGTGAAGCGAAACTCCAACAGGACCGGAGAGAAAAAGCAATCTCTTCTATATCTGTCGTCCAGCAGACAGATGCTATAGAAGTTCACTGTGACAATGTTTTGTGAACTAATACAGCGCTTTTTTGTCTAACTCAAATGACCTCGCAATAAATCATGACGAATGAACATTTAAAATCTGCTTGGTCGTCGTAAAACGGATATAGTGTACTATACGGAAGTGATACAGGACGTGGAATTCATCATGTGATTTGTAGATCACGGTATAGGCATATATTGGAAGCGGAGTGAAATCGGACAGGAGTATTCTCCCCCTTTGGACCAGGAATGACGGACTGCGACAGAAGTAAACTCCAGTGCAGTTCACATTGTTCATCTTTGACCGCATGGAACAGAACGGAGGTCAGGAAGGAGATGAGAGATGTGTCTTACCAATTTCAATACGCTAGTTACAAAAATTAAAGAATGTGAAATCATACCAGACCTATGAGGAATAAACCAACAAGTAGATCAGACGGTTAGACGATGTAAATCCTACCTCCTGTGGCCGATGAACGCTTCGAGACAACCGAATGAGCGACATGTGTGCTACCGGCCGAAGGTAGAGTTTGTATGGTCGAATTGGTCGCGTAATACGAGGATGGTAAAATTAGCGACCCGACTCCGGGCCGTTCTAAAGGTTGACCACCAGTCTGGAGCATAACCTGAGATCGGAGACGTGGCAGAGTGCCACCAGCTGTGTATAACTCGCTCACTGCATGCGTTGAAACACGCTGAATGTTGGGGGATGAGCTAGACGCACAATAATAACTCCCGGGTAAACCGGCCGGAATGGTCAGAACACCAGGGGCGTTTGGATTGGCTGGATTAATTGTAGAACCCGAGGTGGAAGTCCCGGCGAAATTCATTCCAACCACTTCTGGAGTAGCCAAACCACCACCACTAGCCCCGACAAGACCCGAACCAGGAACAGCAGCCCCAGTACCGCTTACACAAGTACCACTGCCGACAGAGCCCAAAACAGTCGGTCCGTCCATGTAAGAAGTCATACTGATAGAAGGTGCAAAACTTCGACCAGCAGCTTCCAGTAACGCCTCCATTTCTGCGCCAATTGAGCTCATACTCAGGTACTTTTTCTCAGCTTGCATCAAGGACCACACACGAGATAACGCCTTTAAATCATCCGACAAATCTGCGTCTTTGTGTTGCGGATAATGCGGTTTGACACTGGAAGGCAAAAATAATTAAAAAGCATGCATGACGATTGCTATTGGATTTACGATGGGCACATGGGCATTATAAACTCCTCGCAGGACCAGTGCTAATCAGCGTAATAGAAGGAGCCATGAAAACCGGGAATTATACATAGACAACTCCTCATAAAGGTCTATATCGAAAACAGATTGTTCTGGGATAACCAATCCAAGCGAAAGTAACCCGACACCCATGACTGCTTTAAGACAGATAGTTGGACAACAGACAGAATAATCAATCATCATGTACATGTTCTTCCGATAATAAACAAAATTCTTCCACAGTGTGTGCTAGTCATAGGATTACAATTAGTGGAGTTATGCCATCAGGAAGAATGATCAATTCAGAATCCGGTATCGAGAAATTTCAAGGACACAACGGCCAATAGTGACTAAGAATGTACCCAGATAAATTATAGGGAGAACTGTATCGCTAGGCGTGAAAATCTCGTGGGTTTGTGTGTTAATAGGTATTAAGATGTTGACAAGCGAACGCACCATAGAAACACAACCGCTCATTGAATATATACATCCAAATTAAAGTGGCCGATCACTTTAATGGCAAGAGAGCACCTTGGAACTTTTCAGTGCGTAATTGACATGAATGCATAATTCATTCGTCTATTCAAAGACAAAGGATTTTCATTAGAGTTTTAAACAGACATCAATAAACAATATATTGGAAATGCATCATGTACGAGATTGCAACAGTGAAAACCATCAGGTGTTAAATGAATCTGGTTCTTTTTGTGATCAGTCAGTTTGGTGGCTTAAATGTGCAAATGTGTTTCCGTGTTTCCGCGATTGAGTTCCTCCACCCGAGTACTAATTAGCATGCAAACCTGATCTACCCATTTCCATCTNTCAATAAAAAAAATACTTCGAAAGGAGTAAAATTTTCAGAGTATAGGGCATTGTTTAAACAATCCAACGATGTGACTCAATGTTTCTTTCAGCGAGAACGCCGTCACGATTTAGCGTATTTTACGCTTATTCTAGAAAATGCTCGACCTCTTTTGAAATTGTGGAAATACATCTTGAGTGAATCACTGGAAACTGAAAGGCGCGAACTGGCTAGGAGGTTAGTAATATTTCACAAGGATAGTTGGGCACAGAAGTGTAATCTTTTCCGAACTACCTTCTAATTACTGCACACCGCATGAAAGTGATATTGGGCGAACCATGCTTTAATGGGAACTTATTGAATAAAAAGGGAATAAGTTAAATCTTGGGGTAAGGAATGAAGAAGCTTAGAATGGAACGGTACATTGAGTGCCAGCAGCTATACCTAAAAGTGAAGTCAGCTACTGATAGATTAAAACCAGTAAACCTATACCTGGTATTAGGACGAAGCTCCTTAACCAACAAAGTATGATGGTGACAAATAATTGCGACAACCAGAAAAGGGTTCGTTTCTTCTGCGGATGAAATGCTGTACAACTTCAAACTTCTGCTATGCATTACTCACTTTAGGAGGTTAATGCTAACTGTGAAGATCACATCTAACAACCAGTTCATTCGAATCCGATCACAATGACAAAAAGAGAGTGCATGGATAGTTTCACTAAATTATCCCCTACTTTCGTTGGGTATTATTGGTATTATTATCCGCTAAGGTCACAGTAAAATATGCTTAACTTCAGAACGCCTTTGGTGAGGATTAACCATATGGTTGGTTTCGATTTTCCAGTAATCCAAATCTGACCGGATTACAGTTGACCCGATTAAGTTGCGGAGTGCAGGAATGACCAGAGAGAAAGAAACAAACAATGTAAAAAGAACAACCAGGCGAAGAAAAATTCCATTTAATAGAACACAAGAATGATCGTGGTAAACGAAATAATAATTTTGGTGCTATAACATTTTATCCAATAGCCGAAGAATTATTAAAACCAGAAAAAAAACTTAATGCACCAAACGATAGCAGCACTGTCAAAAAGCAAAACACGTAGTTAGTCAGAGACTTCAAATGCAAACTGGAGAAACAACAGAGACGCCACAAGTGAGAACAAAGGTCAGAAGAATTAGAGAACATGAGTAAGTATTCCACATTCAACTTACGCAAAGTAATTTAGAATGGCCGCGTACGCCTTCTCCCGAAGTGCAATACGGGCTAGGGGGAAGAGATGACCATGTTCGATGGAATGTTGACTTCCATTTCCGTTTATCACACGCCACGAACTAGTTCCAGCACCAACTCCCACACCAGCACCTCCACCGCTGACTAAACTTCCCGCGCTACTGCCTGCACCACCGCCTGCGGCAGTCGTGCCACCGCCCAGACTTGACACATCTTCCGCAGTTCCACTACTGCCGTGTGCCAACGGTGGTGGTCGGAATCCAGTGTTTTGAAGCAAATTTAAAGCCATCTCCACAAGACGACATCGCACGCCAAGAGCGCTAACATTCTGAGCGAGACGACCGGTTGGGGCGTATGATGATGCAGACTGATAAGATGGTCCAAGATTCAGTTGACTGGGTTCACCGTAGCCGGGAATGCGACGCATGGACCGTGTCAAACCAGCGACCTCACCGGCCAACGAACGTTGGAGTAAATCAAAGAAAATATCCAGTTGTTCTTGACTAGACGACTGAGCCACATAAAGCCGTTCACTGAGGAACTGAAACATTGAGAAAGTGAAACGAAATGTTCTTCGGAAGTCCGTCACTCACAAGGTTACTCTTACTGGCAATGCACAAAGTATTGTTGAACAGTGGAACCAGAATGTTCATGCTATGATAATTGATGATCCGTCAAACAATAAGGTCTGTTTCTCTCATAGTTATCTAATGTCAGCATAAAACCGTTCATGACAAGTACAAACCTTTTCCGAGGTAGACGACTCGTTACTACCGCCAACTTGAAGTGTAATAAAGTACAAATTCACTCTAAAACAAAACACCTCAGTTATGTGAGGGTGGTGCTTCATACACGCTTTTTGCTTCCTTAGTCAGATTCAACATAAGACCACAGAACTCGTCAATCCTAATCCAACACATAACTCGAAGTCACCAACTAACCATCAGACAGTCGACGCTTTGTGTTTGTTCTACCTCTACCACTTTCGCTTTTGTCCAAGTCAATTCGTCTTCGTTATTCCTTTGTTCCGGGTACAAAGCACAACTGAACAGTCACCCGATAACGCATTCCCAACATGTATCAATCTTTATCCGTAAGAACGGTAAAACGGTGGAGAACATTATCCCAATTTGCCTGTGTTCTGGTTCATGATGTCATGTTTTTTTGACGCAGAATCAACAAATTGATTTCATTCTGAATGCTGGTCTTACTTTCTCGTGATCAATATGCCTTTCAATTATGGGATTAAACGCTTTCATCGTAAGAGAGTAAGAATTACCGGTTGAGTGTTTTGTGGAATGAAAATGACCTTCTGCATTGCGCAAATGAATCGTCTATTTCAATTTCCGACTGAAGGTACAGATTCGGCTAATCTCTATGTGTTGAAATGTTGGAACAAAACGATGCACGCTAATCGAGGCTATTATCCGTATGCAAATCAAATCACCTTCTTCATGGATACATCTCACTTGATGCACTGTTTCTGCCGGAGGCACACAAGAAAAATAAACACATGACCAAGAAAGTAAAAAAAAATCACCAAGAAAGAGGTCAGAATGTCACACATTTCAGGCGGAATGCATCCATATACTGCAAACGACAACAGTGACGAGAGAGGGAGGGACTCTCAATTCCAACAACCACGAATAAGAGCGAACATAGGCCAATGACTATTCGTGGGCGATTTGTATGGACATTCCCCAACCGTACCAAACCGATAGAAAACAAGCAGACCACTATTAAAGATAAGTGATTGTGTATATCGATCGGAACCTCGCATACCGAGTTTTCCCACTACAGGAAAAAATAAAATGGACAGACGCGGAGATGGTCCGATAAAGTCTGCACTGTGGAGGCATATACTGGAAACATGGTTCTCACAGTGCATTAAGTCCATGACCAAGAAGAACTCGAGAAGGGAAAATGGTTTGTGGGCATGTAATTACGACCCGAATACTTGCTTTTGTCAGATTGAGCATGGATCAAAACCAAAAAAAACCTGAAAATCTTGCACCTTGTTTCATTGCAAATGACGATTTCGAGAATCAGGATACAACCAAGAATCGGTTGTGATAATAAAAGTACCGAAGTGAGGAACATGGTGAAACACTGGATCGATGAAATGGTGCAAAAGTGATTCACCACTGCAGACAAACTAAAAAGATGACAACCAAAGTTGGCTCATGAAAATGCATGGTTAAGGGTTGTGCAAACTGAGACTAGACAAAGCTAACGAAAGCAAAAGTTGATTGAAAAGCATCGTAAGGGAGTCAACCAACTCACCTGTGACCATAACTGATGTGGACCCGGATCACAGGCGGGAGGAGTATATCGAATTTCTTCTGAAATGACCAGTGGTTCGACTTCTCCATCGTCCAAATCATTCGGCGCGAACACACCGAGACCACGATGAATGGTAGTCTGCCACGCTTCACTCAATTCGTTCAAAAACTGATTAGTCCAAGATCAAGGGATAAGTGAGATGCATGCGTGAAGCTGAACATGTTTCCAATGATTAGATGGCAGCGACATCACACTGATTTTAGATCAAGCACCACAGAATCCAAACTCTGTAGCTCAAGTTTCATGAATGCAGTGATGAATAAGGGTGCAAGATGAAATTTGAATTATGAAACCTGTATCGAAAAAAAGCAATTCTCTTCCAATGGAGGCAGGCGACATCAACAGCGTTCATTTGCTCAAGTAAAACGAGTTTTTACACAATTGCTGCAACTTAAAATTTTAGTCATTGAGGGACAAGTAGAGTAAACAGATATACCGACACATACACCCAAAGGTATTAAAAACAATGGTCGGACAGGCAACGCCAGCTCGAAATACAGTAAATGCAATTTTGTTTCCAAAAGGAAACACCTGTAACATACATTGGGATTGGGAAAAAAACGAAGGAATATTCCAGAGCATCTCCTAAATAGGTTTCACAGGACACGTTAAAAATAACAGCTGTCGGGAGCGCAACTTCGCTACAACTGATTGACAAACGTAAAAGGCATGATATATATATATATATATTCACACACGTTTGAATCATGGTAAGAGGCATTTGAAGTACAGAGTGCAATTGATTAGTCTTATTGCCTCGATTTTGCAAAACACTTAATAAAAACAGATGAAACGAAACGAAATAAGTCATAAATAAGGGAAACCTTTCGAGGGGATGATTACAAGCAACAAAATCTTAGTTAACGATACACTGAGCAGTGCAAGATGCACTAGATCTTGTGCAAATTAACCCCAAAGTGGTGAGGGCGATTGTGCGATTCGGTTAGAAGAGAATGCTTTCCAAACCCTCCTTAAACTGTTCACTTTTATCCAACTTTTTATGTATTCGTCGACAGCTTTGGATTAAAAAGAAGATCTATCGGAAAATAAGCGTGACTTTGCTGGTAATTGTCAAATTCGGTGTCAAGCGTGATACCAATCCTGTATGGGGTCACGAAAATAGCTCGTACTAGACATCCGAATGGCCGATTTGGTTGTTGGACCAAAAATATAAGGGAAACGTTGAACTCGATGTCTGACGAGTAACAACGCCATGCACAATAGAAACACACGATTTGATGCGAACCACTCGAAAAAAAAAAACTGTAAAATCATATTGATTGTTTTCCATAAAACTGTTTCTGATAGGGAGTAAGCAGGAGCCTCATGGGGAAGGCAAACTCAACTACTTGAATGTTTGTGTGTGTTAGAGTTTCAGCCGCTTCAGTTGGTACGATAGAGACGGATTTGGCTATAACAAAAGGCTGGTTGAGATTTGATTACCGATGTAACTCACTTGAATAATCAAACCGGTACGTCCGACCACAAGCCATTGCCAGCAGGCCAAACAGCTTTCCATAACTTCTGTTCTGAATAGACGCAGTGGGGCGCGGCAGAGTTCTTGCAGTAGCAAACGTGCCAAATCGCCACGCATTATGTATTGATCCATGGTTGGTTCTTCAATCAATACAGTCTCCGCAACATGTGAAGGGGATTCATTCACTGCGGCGACCGGTGATGGAGAGCGTGTGCGCGTATCTAACACCCGAACCTTCGAACCCTCATCATTTGGACGATGAATGGTCGGGAGAAGTTTCCGGCGTCGGCGACGTGGCGGGTGACCTAGACCAAGTTTCTCGTCCACTTCCTCTTCG